TTGGGGCACTGTTGATAGAGTGGTAAATGGGGAGCAGACAATAAAAGCATTCTCAAATAAGATCATTTCTGATACTGCTATGAAAACAACAACAACAATGGAATAGGACAGAGCGAGTGGGTTGGGATCCAGGAAGAAATTACTTTGTTACCGAATGTCCTATTAGGGATGTGATAATGAAGCAGTGACTTGAATGACAAAGGAGCTAGCCATGAGAAAATCTGGTAGGAGGAACTACCAGTGCAAGAGTCCTGAGGAAGAGCCAGCTAGTCATGCTCCCAGCACAGAAAGAAGGTGGGACTTTTGTGAGTGAGAGGTTAGTAACTGATGAAGCTGGAGAAACAAGCATGGTCAGTCAGTACTCACAACCACCCAGGAGACCAAGGTAAGAAGTTTCAATGTGATCTCATGAGTACAAGGAAGTCACTAGGGAGAGACATGATTTGACTCATAATTTTTTTTTTTTTTTTTATCCTCACCCGAGGACATTTTTCCATTTTTTGTTCAGATAGAGTGGGAGGGGGGGAGAGAGAGAGAGAGAAACATCGATGTGAAGGGACACATCGACTGGCTGCCACCTGCACGACCAACCAGGGCCGGGGACAAACTGCAACCGAGGTATATGCCCTTAGCGGGAACCGAACCCAGGTCTCTGTACCGCAGGCCGACACTCCAACCGCTGAGCCAAACCGGCCAGGGCTTGACTCATAATTTTTAAAAAAATCACTCTGATACAATTAAGTTCTTAAAACTGAAGTCTTTCTCATTAGAACTTTTGACCTTCGTTTTTGGGGATCTTGGGCCTCTACAGATAAGTTTAATAAACGACAGTCCTGAACCTTCTGTAATGCTGGCTCCCAAGATCCTCCTGGCTTATCAGCTCTATTCTCCACTGTAGCAATTTCCAATGAATAGGTTTGATTTTTCCCTATGTCCTTCATTACATGTGATGTCCAGACGAGAACATGATATTCTAAGCATGGAGCAGACTGGAACTCACCTTTCTCTTTCCAGATCTGTACATTTTTTTTAAATTGCAAATGTGAAATTTTATTTTATTTATTTATTTTATCCTCACCCGAAGATATTTTTCCATTTTTTTTATTCAGATAGAGCAGGAGGGAGAGAGAGGGAGAGAGAGAGAGAGAAACATTGATGTGAAAGGGACACATTGAGTGGCTGCCACCCGCACGACCCAACCAGGGCTGGGGACAAACTGCAACCAAAGTACATGCCCTTAGCGGGAACCGAATCCAGGCCTCTCTGGACCGCAGGCCGACGCTCTAACCACTGAGCTAAACCGGCCAGGGTGAAATTTTATTTTTTAATGGTCATAGTTGAGCGATAGTATGGATCTGACTAGCAGCTCTGAAAATACTTACAGTAAGTTCTGAGTATTACAACTAGTGCTAACAATTGTTTAGCAATTCCTGGGGTTCCCTGGACTTCAGAATAGCCTTATCCAAAGTTCGGCTTGCAGACTTCCAAGGGCAGACAAAGAGCAGTGCGTGTATCCTCTGTGACCAGGGGCAAGCAGCCAGAGGCTGAGATTAGCTGATGTCAAAATGGCGATAATAAATACCCACCTGGTTGACTGGTCCTTAGAGCTTTCACTATACAAAGTGAGTGCTAACAAATATTTTATTTTATTTTGTTTTATTTATTTAGTTAGTTAGTTAGTTTTGTTACAGTTAGTTTAGTTAGCTCTGTTAGAGAAAAGGAAGGAAGGAGGGAGGGAGAGAGAGATCGAGATCGATATGAAAGAGAAACATCAACGGGTTGCCTCCCATAAGTGCCCCGACCGGGGATCAAACCTGTAACCTAGGTATGTGCCCTGACCGGGAATCAAACCCACAACTTTTTTGGTGTATGGGACAATGGCCCAACCAATTGAGCCACCTGGCCAGGGCTGAAGTCCCTTTTTTGATACCCAGATCTAGAAAAAAGGATTAAAGCTGGTTCTTCCCTAACGAAAAGAGCTGTGCTATGTTTTTGTTTTTAAAAGGTGTCACCATTGCCCTGGCCGGTTTGGTTCAGCGGTTGGAGCTTCGGCCTGCGGTCCGGAGAGACCCGGGTTCGGTTCTTGCTAAGGGCGTGTACCTCGGTTGCAGTTTGTCCCCGGCCCTGGTTGGGTCATGCGGGTGGTGACCACTCGATGTGTCCCTTTCACGTGGATCTTTCTCTCTTTCTCTCTCCCTCCCACTCTATCTGAACAAAATATTAAAAAAAAAAAGTGTCACCATTGCCCAGCTGGTGTGTCTCAGTGGTTGAGCGTCAACCCATGCACCAAGAGGTCACCAGTTCAATTCCTGGTCAGGGCATATGCCCAGGTTGTGGGCCCGATCCCCACTGAGGGGCATGCAGGAGGCGGCCACTCAATGTTCTTGCTCATTGATGTTTCTATCTCTCTCTCCTTCTCCCTTCCTCTCTCTCTAAAATCAATAAAGAAAGAAAAAAAAAATTAAAGTGTCACCATTACCCATACAACGCCATGTATAAAAACGCTGCATAAAATAAACAAAACCACTGGGTCAGCTCCTGAGGTTTCACAGCCACTGCATTTCTCTTTCAGGAGGAGGACGAGAAAAACAATTATGGCAAGTTTCCTTAAACTGCTTTGGTCTCTTGCATCACACAGTTGAAGACACCTAGACTATTTGGAAATACTGAGCACTTGAGCAAAAAGACACTCCCTGCAATCATACTTCCTACTAGATTTCTCAAAGACTTATAAACAAATCTGAGTAGACGCAGACTATCTCAAGCGTGGGGTAGGAGGAAGTGGTGCAGGCACATCTACACCTTCACCCTAAGCTGACTTAGTGAGCAGGGCAAATGGTGGGAGAGAAGGATGCTCTGCCAGTGGATGCTGGGAAGGCCCTGCAGATATGCGGATACTTGGACCAGATCCTTCCCACATCCCCTACCACATCTGGTGTCAGATGGATAGGTTTAACACTGGTTTGCCCCCTAGAACCTAAGTGGCCTTGGGCAAGTCACTTAGCTTCAGTTTCTTCATCCCTGACACTGGAATGAGGACACCACCTATCCAAGCTTATTGTGAAGATCAATTACGACTTTGCGTGTGAAAGCCCTCTGTAAAGTACTGTCGTGTAAAAGTGAGGGGTTATTATTGCAACAGGACTTTTACTGCTCCCTTTGCAGCTCTTTCCTGCAGCTAGTTGCCTTTTCATGACTCCTTTTTATCTTCCAAGGCTGCTTTTGATGTTTCCTTTAAGCTGATTATTTTCTTTTTTGAGAGAGAGGAGGGAGGCAGGGAGAGAGACATGTAACATAACTCATCCCACCCTAAACCTTTCTTAAAGAGTGTCTTAGAAGAAGTCCCTTTAGGGCTATTTGGAGTCACCATAAAGCAATTTACCTCTGAAGAACCAACGTTATTGTCATGAAAAGAGAATCTCATCTGATATCTGTGGAGAGTCTCCACCTTCTGGAATTTTGTAGCAAGTTTATAAAGTTGGTAATTTACTAACATCCCTGAGTAGCTTTTCATTGTCTTCAGTTACTATATTCTCAAATAATACAAATTATCTTCACATTAACTGACACATGCCCTACAAAAGACAAACACTGCAACACACACACACACACACACACACACACACGGGAATACATTCCAGAACCAAACGAGAGGCTAAAGACAACCCGCGGATCACTAAGAGTGCCATGTGTGCATCCTCAGCTATCTTCATTTCTTTAATGGAAAAAGAAAATCTCATGAGTCAACTTTTTCATTGTGAGCTGATCTCAACAGCCTATCGCCTTGCACTTCAAAAGCAGCCCCATTTCTCAACAAAGTGGAAATAAAAATGAGCGGCAGCTGAAGGGCAAGACTCTGAACAATGGGAGAACACAGGCTTCCAAAAAGAAATATGAGAAGACAGGAGGCACCGCTCCCGCGTAATACAATCTAAGTATCCCTTTTTTTTTCTTTGCTCAATTCAGTGTTAAGCATCTTGGCTGCCCTGGTTAAGATTTAGGGAGGGGGTGCCTCTAATAAAATGAATCTAAACATTAGCGTTAGGTGACAACGGTCTGGTCCCTGCGAGCTGTCAGCTTGCCTTGAACACTGACTCACCACAGCGACAACCTCCACGGCAGGGCGCCTCACCTGCGCCAGCTCAGAGGCAAGTTCCTGCTCATTCTGCAGGCTGGCACCCTTGCCCAGCACTTAGTCAGTTGGAGGAGCTGGTCAGTGCCCACTGCAAAATCTTTTTCCTCTTCCCAGTTTCCTTCTCCCAGATCCCACCTACATACAGCCTGGGGAAGCCCAAACCCAGCAGAAGGGGAACATGTTCTCAGCTCTAGGAAGACCACATGCAGTCCTTTCAAAGACCCCGGACGCTGGTCCAGTCCATCCTGAACCAGCTGTCCTACACTGAGCTCCTAACACTGCCTTTGCAAACCTCCTCTTTGCTTACTGACTTGTCGGGAGGAGGGGGACCTGGGCAGGCACAGGCAGAGTCGCCGCAGCAGGCACCCCGTCCAGAGTCCTTTCTCCCTGGTCCCCGCACCTCCCCCGTCTGCCGCCTGGGAGCAGAGAGCAGCAAACTTAAACCGAACACGCACGCACGACTTGGTAAATGTCTTTCCCATCCTCGTCCCAGGCACCCGGTCCCCAGCAAGGCTTTCCAGGAGTCGGGGGTTCTTCCTCCCTGCCCCCCAGACTGAGGGACCAGCTCCACCTCAAAGCCACTTGGCGACACCATCTGCCACCAGGCGTGGGGACACCTTGTACAGTCCCCATACCGTGGGCTCCCGTTCCCATGTCCTCACCACCCCCCGCCCAGCACCCGCGGACCCCGCAGGAATCCCTGTGGCCCAAGGCCCCGGACCCCGCGTCATCCCGTGACCCCTCCCCCTCCCCACAGCCCCTCACCGGCCGGCCCCCCGAGAAGCCCGTGCTGCCGCCTCGGGCGCTCCAGCTGTCGCCCTTCGGAGAGCTCCCACGCCGCCCGGGGACCCGGGGGCCCACTTACCCCCACGAGCACCGGCGGGGCCCCTCTCACCGCGGCGCCCGGGAGGGCGGACGGACAGAGCGCGCGGGCGCCAGTGGGCTCAGCGGTGCAGCCGCGGCGCTGACCCGAGAGCCGGGTCCTTCCGAGGCGCGGACGCGCGGGAGCTGTCAGTCAGCCGGCCGCGCCCGCCCCCGGCACTGTCTGCGCAAGCGTGAGCGCGGCCCGGAGCAATGTCACGTGGTGGGACGGTGCCGCTGCCCGTGCCTGGTGCTCCCCACCGTGTGGGCTCCGCCGGGGTCGCTCTCCGCCCGGCCGCCAGCCTCTGAGACCGCCCTCGGAGATCGCCCACGGAAAGGTCCCGTGGACCTCGTTTCCTGCATCTGCTGAAAACCAGCGTGTTCTCTCGGGCCGGGAAGGGTTGGGTGGGGCAGGCTTTCTGCGCGCAGATGGGTGGCGATTTGGTGATTTTAGGGGTGGTGGTGGGGAGCTCCGGCTGGGAGTCGGGAAATACGACCTAGTTCTGATTGCTTCCCCGCCCAGAGTGTCTCCACCTGCTCGCCTATTCCAGTTAGGATGAAGTCCTGGCATTAATGAACATACTTTAAAAACAAGTCAGGCAGGGATGCATGGTAGAGAAGGGCAATTTGGGGCAGATTTATTTTTTGAAACAGGGCATCTTAAAGGCTGTTAGATTCCACCTCACCTGCTCCACGAGTCTAGGCCAGTCTGCATCTTTTTTCAGCAAGTGAAATAAACACAACTTTCAAGTTACCCTGTTCCACGTTTCTTCAATTAAAAAAACAAGTGTCTCCTGTGGAAGCCTTCCTTCTAGAGGAAGGAAGTATAGAAGCAGAAACTGACATCTTCTCCCCAATAAGTTTGGGGTTATGTCAAACTTGGTTCCAACACCTAACAAAATTCAGTATCTGATTCTGGAGTATGGACTCCAAACCTCAAACTCGAAAAGACATTTCCACAGCTACACTGCAGAGCGATAGTGCGCCTTCTGGTGGTTGCTTATATGAAGCTCTGCCTTGAAATAAAGGCAGTGGTCATCTGAAATGGGACTAAATGTCAATTTTAGAAAACTGGGTCCTCTGAAATTTTAGGGGTTGTGCAGGAAGAACTGGAGTATTGACACTTTTGAGAAAAGATGACATGGATTGGTGATCAGGTATCTTTCCCTGGCCCCAAGCATGGAGCTGCTAGCCCCTGGGAAGAGGACCTGTTGAACTTTAGATTGCTGGGAAAAGTTTAAGGGAACTACATGAAGGAAAAAGCTGGGAGCTACGGTTCCACAGGAGTTATAGGGCCTTTAGCACCATAGCTATTTCTGTTCCTTCCCAGATTTGCCAGCTTGGTATGGCCATCATGTATAAGAAGCTGGATCTCAGCCTTGGCCAGTTTGGCTCAGCGGTTAGAGCTTCGGCCTATGGACTGGAGAGTCCCGGGTTCGGTTTCTGCTAAGGGCACGTACCTTGGTTGCAGTTTGTCCCTGGCCCCGGTTGGGGTTGTGTGGGTGGCAACCAGTTGATGTGTCTCTCTCACATCGATGTTTCTCTCTCCATCCCCTCCCCCTGCTCTATCTGAAGATAAATGCAAAACATGTCCTTGGGTGAGGATAAAAAATATAAAAAAAAGAAGCCGGATCTCTGGACGTTTCAAGTTTGGTGTGAACTCAGGAATGGAGGGAGCATAGCCTTTACTTCTTCATGTGGACACTACAGATAAGGACACACCGCTGGTTCTTGTAAGGTCTGTCCCGTGTCCAGTAGAACATGAGCCTGTCTTGCACACTTTATGGGAACAAAGGAGGGTTATATCTAGCTGGAAGAAGTCCTCTTCTGGTTCAGTGAGTGAACCTAGCACAAGGCACTACCTCATGCTGGCCTGACCTGGCTGGTGATACCAACTGGTCAGGGAAATGGAAAAGTGTGAGCTCATCGGGGTCAAATTCCATTTGGGGGAAAAATAATTTCTCCTCAAGAGATTCATACAGACTTTCTCTCTTCCTATCTCATCAAAGGTCTTCTGACCTTGCCAGAGGGTTGGAGAGAGGCAGATGACATAGCCATTTTAAAAAAAGGGGAAGAAAGTAAGTTCTGCAAACCACAGACTGGTAAATTTTACTTTGGGCCTGGGAAATATTCAGAACAGATTACTCACAAAAAATATTTGTGCCCCTCAGAAGAGGAAGCACCAGTGAAAAGACCAAGTCATGCTAGGTTAACCTTATTTATGTTGCAAAACATATAGACTGGTAAATCTAGGAAATATAATAGTAGTATATCTGGACCCGAAAGGTGTGTTTACCAGGATTCTTTCTGTTATAAATGACACAACTCAATTCATACTGGTTTTTTGAAGCAAAGGACTATATTGACTCCCATTACTGAAAAGTTCTGGGGTTGGTCCAGCAAGATCTAGGGGCTCAAATCATGTTATCAGAACTTAGTCTCCTTCCCCTCCCTGACTGCCTCCCTCTGAGCTGGCTTCATTCTCAGGTTCGGTTCTTTTTATAGTATGGTCTGTAGCAGCAACAGGCTTATATTCTCTCAATTTAGCAACCTCAGTGTAAAAAAGGAGTCCCTGCTTCAATATTTCCAGCAAAAGTCCCAGGGTTTGGTCTGAGTGGACCAACATCACTCATGTGCTCATCCCCTCGAATCAATCTCCGAGGCCAGGTTGTTGGGATAACTGGATTGGCCACATCTGGACAGGAGTGAGGATCAGCCCCACCCAGCTACTTGGGTAGAGAGCAAGGGAAAGGTGGATCCCCACAGGAAGATGAGAAGCTCTTGTGAGGAGAAGGGGGGCAGATTCTGGGCAGGCAAGGGAAAACAACATATTCAGGACTGAGCATTTGCTAAGATATCTCATGATACTCTGTGAAAGGCAGGAAGAAAAGGAAGGAGAAACAGTAAATTCATTGGGTGGCTGAATTAATATTCAAAAGTACTATGATTAGAGAACGCGTCCAAAAAACAATTATACAAGATAAAACTGATGGTGTGACTTAACATCAGTTCTGTATTTCCAGTTACCCACTATGCCTATTTCCCCTTCCCCACTTTGTTAACAACATATCGCCACACGCTTAGTGGCTAAATGACACGTATTTATTACCCTACAGGTCTGGAGGTCATGTCTTAAAATCGAGGTATCAGCAGGGGTGAGTCCTTCTGGAATCTCTGGGGAGGATCATTTCCTTGCCTTTTTCAGTTTCTAGCAGCCTCCTGCATTCCTTGGCTCAAGGCACCTTCCTCCATCTTCAAAAGCAAACTCCTTTAATCTGGACCAGTTACCAGCATTTCCTCTCTTCAGGACACTAATGGGTACTAGGATGGGCCAGTTGTTTTGTAGGAGGTCTCTGTTTAGATTTTTCTGATCTTAGAGAGACAGGAGTACTGTATAACTTTTGGCAGCAGCACAGCATGACTCACGTGTGTCCTCAGTGTACTGTATGAGGAGGCACAAACATCAGTGTGTCTCGTTATTGCTGATACTATGTTTCACCAGTGGTTGAGATGGTGATATGTTTAATCATTGTAAAGGGACTCGTTTCCCTTTGTAAACAATTAGTAATCGGTGGGGAAGATACTTTGAAATTATTTAAATCTCCTGTTTTCCAGTAGTTTAGCATCCATTAACAATAATGGTGTGGTTGCAAAACATTGTGTTCTAATTCAATTGCTCCATCGACATTTATTAGTTGACATTTCCTTGCAACTATTCTGCCCTTTTCCAGTATGTTCTCTACAAAGCAGCTAGAATGACCTTTAAAAACCACAAATGTGACCAGATCCTCCAGTGGCTTCCCAATGTCCCTCAGACTTGTTGGGAAATCCCTCAACTGGTTGTTTGGGCCCTGTAGGACCCGGCCCCTTCTAAGCTCCCCAGCCTGGACTCAAGCCACGCCCCTTTGCCCTCCACACAAGAGCCCCTTACAGAACTTCCAATGATCCATGCTGCTTCCCACCAAAGGGCCTCTCCACCAACCCTTTGCTTGGAACCCTCCTCCTCAACCTCCTGCACCCTTTGCTTATCAAATACCCAGCTGTCCACATATCACATCCTAAAGAAAGCCTTCCATGTGCAGACCAGACCAGATTCCCAGGTATAACCTCTCACCACACAATGTCCTTGTCCTTCACAGTTTAGAAACATACTGGTTTGTAATTGTGCACTTATTTGTTCAATTAGTCTCTGAGCTAATGAACATAACAGGCAGGACCTGTGTCAGCATCACCTAGCATGGTGCCAAGCACAGAGTAAACCATTAAATACCTCCTGAATGAACCAATACGAGTCTAAGACAGGGATACAGGCAGGGTGGGAAGGGCAAGAAGAGGGCTGAGTTACTGGAACCAGAGCACAAATGGGCAGGGACTTGCTGCCAGGCGACTTGGTGGAGTAGTCCTGGCAGCAGGAGCAGGGGAATCATGGCATAGGCCAGCCCTTGGAGCTGGTATAGAGCTGCGTTGGTACAGAGCATGGTCTCCAGCTCCTTAGGGAGTATGGTACAGTATAAAGAGCAGGATCTTCACAGCCAGATGGATGGAGGTCTTCAAGCTTCTCTGCTTCCTTTGGGCGATCGCTGAACTCTGAACTTCCGTTTTCCTCAGCTGGGCAAAGGAATCATACAAGTTCACAGGGATGTGAGCGTGAAGTGTGTCTGTGAGGCAATATGACAGCAGCAAAGAGCAAGACATCTGGGTCTGAATCCTGGCTCTCCTCTCTTAGCTGTGTGACCTTGATTGAGCACACTGCTTAACCTCACTGGGCCTGTTTCTTCAGCTGTGAAAGGGGCCAACCACAGTGTGTTCATTCAGCCCATGCATTATTACTGAGAACCTATTTTTTGACAGGCACTGGGGAGACAACAGGGGACAAACCAACAACTCCCTGCCTTTCCTGAGGCTGGCATTGCAGTGAGGGATAAATAACGAGATAACTAAGTGAAAGATATAGGAAGTTAGCTGAGATGAGACAAGGTGCAAAGCTGAGCAGGGGAAGAGAAATGTTGCAGAAATGGAAGGGAGGGAGACATTTTAGATGTGGTTCCAAGGAGAAAGATGCCTTTCAAGTCAAGTTCCAAAGGGCATAAGAGTCAGCTTGAGCTATCCAGGGGGCACAGAGTGCCAAGCCCAGAACCTGACACTCAGTAATTGTTCCATACCTGTCCACTAGCTATACGCCCTCCCATCAGCACATGCCTGGAGCCCCAGCAGGCTGTAGCCACAGCTGGAGGCTCAGTGGCCCAGGGAGAAGGAATTCAGGAACACATTATACCACTTTCTGGGCCTTGTCTAACAGCATGCATTGTGAAGTTTCAGCCTTCTGGCTTCCCCAGTCTGGCTGTTGCATTCAATACTACAAACTCAGTGGAAAAAATAAGAAACAACTCAAAACATCCTTCTGGAATAACCTCTGTACCTTTGTCTGTCTGTCTTCTCTCTCTCCCACTGTTTATTTGAAGTAGAGCATACAAATGATAAGTGTACATGGCTGGATGAATTTTTACCAAGTTAGCACCCATACAACCAGCAAGAAATAGAATACTACTAGCACCCTAGCATCCCCCCTCAAAGGTAACCACTACCCTGGCTTGTTTTCTTATACCAAAGATCAGTTGTTGTTTTTTTAAATCCTCACCTGAGGATATTTTTCCATTTATCTTCAGATAGAATGAGAGAGAGGAAGGGAAGGAGAGAGAGAGACAGACAGACAGACAGACAACCATTGGTTGCCTCCTGCACAAGCCCGACCGGGGCTGGGGACGAACCACAACCGAGGTTAAGTGCCCTTGACTGGAGTCGAACCTACGGCTCTTTGGTCTGTGGGCTGACGCTCTAACCACAGAACTGGCCAGGGCCCAAAGATCAGTTTTGTTTTGTTGGTTTTTTTATCCTCATCTGAGGACATTTTTCCATTTTTTTGTTCAGATAGAGTGGGGGTGGGGGGAGAAAGAGAGAGAGACATCGATGTGAAAGGGACACATCGAGTGGCTGCCACCCGCACGACCAACCAGGGCCGGGGACAAACTGTAACCAAGGAATGCACCCTTACCAGGAACTGAACCCGGGGCTCTCTGGACTGCAGGCCGATGCTCTAACTGCTGAGCCAAACCAGTCAGGGCTCAAAGATCAGTTTTAATGGGATCAGACTGTGTGCTGTTTTGTGTCTTGCTTCTTTTATTCAACATCAAATTAGTGAGATTGATCTGTATTGCTGTGTACAGTGTATACTTTTAGTTGGTATACCATTTCATTGTATAAATATACCACAACTTATTCATTCTGTTGCCCATGGACTTTTAGGTTGTTTCCAGTTTAGGGCTATCATGGACAGTGCTGTGTGAACATTCTAGTACACGTCTCTTGGTGAATGTAGGTCTGGTATGCTCGGCTTCAGCAGATACTCCTAACAGTTGTCCAAGGCAGTTTGACAATGACATGCCCACCAGCAGTGTACGGGACTTCTAGTTGCTCCAGTGCTTGCAGACACTTGGGGGTTTTCATGTTAGATAAGTAAATAGTATTTCACTGTGGTTAAAGTTTGCATTTCCCTGATGACTAATGAAAATGAACAGTTTTGGATAGTCTCTTTTATGAAGAACTTGTTCAAGGTTTCTGCCAGTTGTTTTATTAGATTGTCTCATTTACTTTTAGTTACATTTTTATGTATTTAAAAATGAATACATGGTTTAAAAAATAAGTTACAGACCTGTTTGTTGTATATTTTCCCAGGAATATTCTATGTACATAAAAACATCTATCCCCTACTCTTCTTTTTCACACAAATACAGTTTTACATAATAGACAATGTACATGGAAGACCATTCTCATATCAACACATAAAAAATCTGCCTCATCTTTTTTTTTTTTTTAATCCTCACCCAAGGATATTTTTCTATTTATCTTCAGATAGAATGGGAGTGGGGAGGGAGAGAGAGAAACATAGACATGAGAAAGACATCGACCAGCGGCCTCCCTCACAACCCAGACCAGGGCTGGGGATGAACTACAACCAAGGTATGTGCCCTTCACCGGAATTGAACCCGAGACTCTTTGGTTTGTGGCCCAATGCTCTAACTGCTAAGCCAAACCAGCCAGGGCTGCCTCATCCTTTTTGTAATTGCACAGCACAGTATTCCATTTATGTATACAACATACTTTATTTAATATAATGGGCATATAGGATGATGCCAGTTTTTTGCTTCTAAAAATATGCTATTATAAATACTCAAGACAAACATCTTTGTGCACATGGGTGAGTCTAACTGTAGCAGAAATTCCAGAGAATTGCTGGATCAAAGGGTACGTACACTTAAATTTCTGTGATTCATTTTGCTATCTTGCTCTGCAAAGAGCTGAACAAATGTACAATTGCACCAACTTGGTTTGCCTTGCCAACACAAAGTATTACCAAGCTTTTATTTTGCTAGTCTACTAGATAAAAATGGGATCTCACTGTACTTTAAATTTGCATTCTTTCCTTTTACTTTGAATTAGGGCTGAGCATCTTTTCACATATTTGAATACAGCCTCCACTTTTAAAAGGGCTGTTTCGTGGGATGACTGGTTAACTGGAAATTAGCTCCTGAGAGGAAAACAGAACTAACCTGGAGATTGGGATATTCCCTTCCCTGCAAAGACCTCCAGTGAAATCAGGGACAGGGGGAAAAAACCCTCTGTGTTGAAACACAATCTTAGAACAGGAAGAAACCTTAGAAATTAAGACTAACTTCATATTTTAAAAATATATTTATTGATTTTTTAACAGAAAGAGAGATAGAAACATTGATGTGAGAGAGTAATATCCATTGGCTGCCTCCTGCACATCCTCCACTGGGGATTGAACCCAAACCCGGGCATGTGCCCTGACTGGGAATCGAACCAGGACCTCTCAGTCCATGAGCCACACTGGCTGGGCCTAACCTCATATTTTGTTTTATTTTTTTTTCTTTATTGATTTTAGAGAGAGGAAGGGAGAGGGAAAGAGAGAGAAACATTGATGAGAGAGAATATCGATTGGCCGCCTCCTGCATGCCCTCCACTGGCGATCAGGCCCACAACCTGGGCATGTGTCCTGACGGGAATCGAACTGGCAACCTCTTGGTGCTTGGGTCGACACTCAACCATAGAGCCACACCGGCTGGACCTAACTTCATATTTTAGAGATTAAAAAAAGAAAAAGAAGAAACTGAGGCTTGGAGAGGGGAACTGACTTGCAGAAGACTACATATCAGTTCTGTTGAGAAAGAGATGAAAATCCTTGATGAGTTGTTTTTGTCAACTGTTGCCATCCTCATTAAATATTTTAATGAATGGTTTTATTGTGCTATTATTTCCTTTAGCAAGGGTGTAATTTTAAAGTTAAATAAACAAACTATCATAGTAATTAAAAACACAGGCTTCATAACAAGTGTGGGGACTCAGAAGAATTATGGGATAAGGATCCCTCCCTCTTTACTTTTTGTGAAAGACTTTGAAATGGGTCAAAAAGATTATTGGGTGTCTTCAATGAACAACTAGGTGTTGTCTGGCACACCCTTCTGGGTTATCTGGTTCCAGGAGTTTTTTTTATTTTCTTTAAGCTATAGGGCATAGAAAATTGATAGCAATGAAAGTTATTCTTGCCCAGAGATATGACATACAAATGAAGCTTAAATGGTAGAAGTTCAACTGACCTCCCTCCCCCTCTGTTGAAGAAGCCAGTTTTGCATCTATTAAGCAGATTCATCACAGCATTCCTGACTGCCTATATGTGCATCTGCCTTTTGGATTCATTTCTCAACCATTTGTATCATCTTACATACTTCCTCATTAATTAGTGAGTTAAATTAAATCTTTTACATGTATTTATATCTGTACAAAAGTCATTTAACTTTACAAAAAAAAAAGATATTCTTTTAACATTGCTCGCAGCAAGTATATCTCAGGTACAGTCTTGGTGTCATCCAAAAAATAACGATCCTTTGTTTCAGCTTTTGTAAAAAGAACTGGCCAGCCTCACTTTTTCCCTTTGTGGAAACAAAGATACCAGGCAACAGGAAGCTCATTGAGGGGTGCCAATGCATAGTGCCACTCTGAATACAGAGGCACAAGACCCGCTGACACAATTTTAAACTTTTAAGGCTGGAATTTTGATAATTGATTTAACGCACCCCTTACTTCCAAAAGTTTGGCTGGAATAAGAGGGTTTTTTTGGGGGGGGGGGGCAAAAACAGTAAATAGTGAGAAAGTGGCTTGCAGTCAGTGAGATTCTCATAGATTCCTTGGCTGTACTTACTGCTTTTCTCAATCGTACAATTTAGTCGGTACTTACCAGTTTCACAACACTAAGCATCTGCTTCCCAGACGTGCAGCAACTGCCCCAAATATAGGAAACTCAAACAAACAAACAAACGTGTCTATGTTCAAAAACCTTAGGACTTATCATCTGGAAGGAATCGTTGGGATGCTCCGATGTCCTGATCCCTCCGAGAGGGTAGACTAGAGCCCCCTGGACCCCAGGAATCAGGCCTCCAATTCCCAGTCCAGTGCGCTTCCTCTTTTCCCACGTGCTCCTGCCTCCGGCTGTTTCCCAGGCCGTGGTTTCCATTTCCCCATTTTCTGAGTTCTCAGTCCCCCACGGTGCAGGCCACTCCTAAAGGGGACAGTGCCTTGAGAGGTGGCCGCGGGCTCGAATCACTCGGGCAAGAACTCGCTCGGCACCCAGCGTGACAGCTTAACGCGTGGCTTGGACCGTGCGGCAGCCCGTAGCCCCATCCTTTCCCTTCCGGATCTCCTTTGGGAGGGACCTCTTTACCTTAGCGAGGGAACCTGTGACTGGAAGCGGCCCTCCTCAAGGAACTGTCAGTCCTTAAGAGCCTTTGTTCCAGAGGGACCGCTGTCACCTCGCGGAAAGCACCGGACGCACTCCCCTCCGCAGCCAGGCGCCGGAGGCGGCCGGAACTGCGCAAGCGCGACGCCGCTGACCTCCGGGTTCACTTCCGGGGGTCGCACCGCCCGGCTCTCCGGGCTGGGTTCTGGGCTCCGGAGTGGGCTCGGCGGCCACCTCCCTCCGATCGGCCCGGCCGGACTGACCCGATCCGAGCCACGCGGCCCGCTCCGGCCCGGCCATGAGCGCGGCCGCATGATGCGTCCCTGCCTTGGCCGCTGCAGTCGCCCCCGCCGCCGCCGCAGGCCAGGAGGAGCCGTAGCGCCGGGTGACCCCGCCTGGGCCTCGGGTGAGTGCGGTGGGCTGGGCTGGGCGGGCCGGGCCGGGCTGGGTTGGCTGGGCTCACGCCCAGGTCCCCTGGCCATTACCTGCCCCCCGCTCCCTCTCCTCCACCCCTTCGTGATCTGCAACCTTCCCAAATTCCTCAGGGGCACCCTGTGCTTGCACTTGACTTCCCCAGGTGTCCCCTTGTCCCTCCTCACTTGATCTTTCGGGATAGGGCCCGAGTTGTAGCCCCAGCTTCTTGCCTGACCTTGGCGTGACAGCAAGCTCTCCGAGCCACGGTTTTCTCTCTAATAACGGGTTGTTGGTAGGGCTAGAGGAGAGAATGGCTGTAAACCCTACTGTAAGCTATAAAGAGTTGTTTATAGGCATCTATTACAATGAGCTTTCTCCCACACCTTGCGTGGCTCCTTGAATACCCTTGTTCTTCTCCCCCTTAAAATTTTAACTTTCTTCTTCGTGCGTCTTTCTCATTATCTTCCCTTCCCCTCAATGATCTTTGGGGGATTTTCTGACAGGGCATCTGGGACAATCAAGTCAGCCTTCAGGGAAGTGTCTGCCATCTCTTCTTAGTGAGGCCAAAGCTCCTCTCTCCTGAGAAGTCATTGCTGTGGGGACTGTCTCTTTTTGCTCTTGGATGGACACTATTCGTTTATGAGCAGCCAGTTTATCATGGTCATTAAATTGGAGTGTAAGAACTGTTGGTACACCTGCTTTGTAGCTTCTTTTGCTGTCCAGGTTCTGTACATTGCTTTCCAAACCGATGCTACACTGTTACATTTGCATTCTGGTAGTGTATATACTTAATGTCTGTTTAACTCTTATTGTCTCAGGTAGTCTAGAAATCTAACTCAATATATTTTTCTTCCTAATCTCTTCACCTCACAGATGATAAATTTAGTTTTTTGATATTGTTATAATTTACTTATCCAAAGTCACCTTTTAAAAACTCACCTTGTGCCGGGCTGGTGTGGCTTAGTGGTTGATCATCAACTCCAAGAGGTGGCCGGTTCCATTCCTGCTTAGGGCACATGCTGGGGTTGTGGGCCTGCTCCCGAGTGGGGGGCATGCAGGAGGCCGCCAATCGATATTCTTTCTCATCAATGCTTTTCTCTCTCCTTTTCCCTTTCTTTCTCTCTAAAATCAATAAAGAAAAATAATAAAAACTCACCTTGTGCCCTGGCCAGGTAGCTCAAGTGGTTAGAGTGTTGTCCCCTTATGCCAAGGTTGTGGGTTCGATCCCCAGTCAGAGCACATACAAGAATCAACCAATGACATAACAAATCGACTTTTCTCTCTCTCTTCCTTCCTCTCTCTCAAAACTCAATAAATAACTTTTTTAAAAGTTACCTAGTTAAGTTTGTTTGTTAAGAAGTTACATCTTGGTTAAAGTGACTGACTATTGGGATAGCTGGAAAAATGGAATGGAACAGAAGTAATAAATTGCATTTCTTGAACATTCCGGAAAAAAGAAGGGTTAGATTTATTGAAGTTACTTGGATTGTATACTTTTTTGGACTTAGACTGGTAGGTTCACATTGACTTTTGAGTTGAGATATGGAGGAGAACAAGACCATCTGAAAAGTTAATTTCCTAAAGAATTTATAAAACAACAGTTGGAATTCTATGCAAATGTCCCGTAAGAAGGCAAATGGGTAAAAATGTATTCAGAAGTGTTGTGCTACCGATGGCTCAGAGCCTGCCTTGGATTACAATTAGTGAATTGGAACTTTACAGCCATGCTAATCAGTGCACTATAAAAGCAGAAATCCTCTTTTAGTGGTACAGCCATGCACCACTTAACGGGGATACTTTCTGAGAAATGCATCGTTAGGCGATTATACTGTGTGTGAACATCATAGAGTGCTCTTACACAAACCTAGATGGTACAGCCTACTACACGCCTAGACTATATGGCATAGCCTAGTGCTCCCAGGCTGAAAACCTGCACACCATGTTACTGTACAACACAAGATTAAAGTAAGTTCAAGAGAAAATGATGTAATCAAGAGACATGGTAAACCAGGTGTGTGACGCTGCTGTCAGTGTAACAAGGCGTACTGTTTTATAAGTAGAAGGTACACTCTAACAATAAAAAGTATGTTATAGTAAATATATAAACCAGTAACACAGTTGTTTATTATCATTATCAAGTATTATGTACTGGACATATTTGTATATGCAGTACTTTTATGTGACTGGCAGCCCCGTAAGGTTGTGTACTCTAGCATAGTCACAAATGTGAGAAATGTGTTGCGTTATGACATCAGTAGGCAATAGGACTTTTTCAGCTCCATTATAGTCTTATGAGAAGACTATCCTGTATGTGGTTCATTGTTGGCCGAAATGTCATTACACAGCACATGATTGTATTAGCATGAATAGCATGGCTGGAACTATATATAAGAACAGTCTTGATTTACTCAAAAGTATGGACATACTTTTACATTCTTACTAAAACTGTTCTGCAGGCTTGGGCTGTTTGGTGCTATAAATAATATAATCTTTGTAAATATGAGGAAATGGGGCTGTAAATAAGTTCACGTACAAAGTTAATGTTTGGGATGAACTGAGAAGTAGTTTTCCTGATGATTCCAGAACTTCCCTGTTCCATCTCTGCTGACCAGCTCTACAGGATAATTTTCTTGAAGCAGCTTTTTGGGTAGGTGTTTCTTAAAAGTGACGTTTTAGTTATAAAGCAACACATGCTTGTTTTGTAAAAAATCAAACACTAGAGCAGAGAATAAATTCTGAACACTTATTCCCATTCCTGCTTGTCACCAAGAACAGCGTCCAGGGTCAGTGTTAGCTTGCTGTGTGACCCTTGAGCTATAGCACCTGGGAGGAGTGTAGGACAGCTGTGAGAGTTAGTCACCCACAGAGTTTAGAAGGGACAGTCCACACAAGACCACCTTCTCTGCTGGCCTCAGCTGCAAGTTTGGGGATTCCCCAGACCACCCTACTGTTTGATTATTAGGAAGGAGGACTCACGGAACTCACGGTAAGCTGTCATACTCACAATTACGGTTTACTACAGGGAAAGAATGCAGAATAAAATCAGCCAGGGTAAGAGGCCTGTAGGACAGAGTCCAGGGAAGTATCAGAGGGGGGGCTTCTGTCAGAACACATTACTACCCTGGCATTGATATGAGACAGTATGCCCAGGGTATTGCCAACCAGGCAAGCTCACCTGGACCTTCATGTTCAGAGTCTTTTTGGGGGTTCCACCTGTGATTGATTGCTTACTTGGTTGATCTCCGTGTCCAGGTCAACTGATAACTGCATAACCCAAAGTCTCACCCTTCATTACATTGTTAGTCTTTCTTGTGTAGCCAGCCCCTACCAAAACTCAGATTGATTGTCACTTGAGGACAGAAGCCAGACCTCCTTTAGGGCAAGTTTAAATTCTTTACTGCACAGCATCCTTCCTTCTCTCATGGTCCCTTAAAATATCCTTTTTTTTTTTAACCATTGACAAATGACTGCCTTCTAGATCATGAGACAAAGGCCCCTGGGTGAGTTCTCTCAACTTTGATTCCTTTCTAGATAAAATATCTGAATCTCCATCAGTCTTTTGCCTCCCCTTGCCTTTGAGGAAGAGATAATCCCTCTTTCCCAGTGTCAACTTGTATCTGCCCTTTGGTCTGCCTGTCATGGGACAAGGATTTAGCCATTTATTCTCACTTGCCTCTTTGATTTTCTTCTTTCACTGTCTTCTTTGCCTCTTTCTACAAACATGTTCCTGTCTTGCTAATCTTAGCCTTGCTTATACTTCATTCCATTCTTGAAAAACCTTTGGTAGAAACCTGTTAATTGCCTACTAAAATCCAGACTCCTTATAGGGCCTTATATTGGTACCACACCTCATAGTTTTGGAAACACTTGTGTTATCTTACTGTGCCTTGCATGTAGTGGGTGCTTGGTAAATGTTAGATTAATGAATAATCTGGCCAGGCAGCAAGTGAGAGTCTTCTGTTGGAGGAAAAACAGCAGGAGCCAAAGCACAGAGGTGTGAAAGGGTGCGTGGCAAGGGGAGCCGGAATGAGCACTGTGGAAGAGGGTGAGAACAGCCTGGGACGGTAGGGAGAGCAGAGCCAGTGGAGCCTGGAATGCCGTGGCCCCAAGGTTTGGGACCAGGCTGACTTTGTAACCCACGCTGTGATTTTCATGGTAACTCCTGCAGTCACATAGAGGGGGTTGGAACCTGGACACCCTCTGAGGTTAGGATTCTGCAGATGTACAGGCCAGAGGTGGCTTGTGGGAAAGGTGGGAAGGGAAGGACCAGAGCTGTCAGTGGGAAATGTCATCAGCACGTAGGAATGAGGGAGGAGCGGGATCTGTGCCTGCAGGTTAAAAGGTTCTAACAAATACTGGTTGTGTGAGGAATGTTGTCGGTTAATGGAGGAGAGGCCAGCCTGTGTTAAGCTGGTGGTCTGGTTCTTTCTGGGAAAGGGTGCAGTTCCTTTGCAATACCCAGTGAGTAGGGGCCAGTCAGAACAGAGAAGCTTCCAGTTTCCCTTGAGACAGGCTTTTACAGTACCATTCCTTTTTTAAAATGTTTTGAATGCTTGAAGTTCCGTATTTCCCAAATTCAATTTATTCATTACAGAATGCATTTTCTAAAACCAAGTGCTCTGGGAGGCAGTGTATTTTAATGGAAGAACATGGGCTTTGGAGTCAAAACAGTCCTGACTCCACCCTTTGCTGGCCATGAACTTGGGCAAGTTACTTTTGCTCTAGGACTCAATTTCCTTATTCCTAAAATGCTAGTAATAGTGCCCGGCTTTTAGAGTAGTGGCTGGAGTGAGTGTGATAATGTATATAAAGCTCCTGACACACAGTAAGTGTTCAGTAATTGGCCTTTCTTTTCACCTTCCAATGTTCTACATTGTCATCACCTTGCAACTGAGAGCAAAAGCTACTCTTAGCATATGAAATGTTCATCGCATTTTGGATTTTGGTGAGTCTGATGTTCTAAAAATTCACTTCACGTTAAACAAGGAAGCC